TATGCATGAAAATGTTCGCGGCAAACTGCGCTCGTTGACAGTGGATCGTTTGCGCAGCGCGTGTTTGTTGTGAATTGAAAATTACTTCGCGCCGCGCGTGCAACGTTGCATTACAGGTTCGGCGCGCTCGTATGTACGCGGCTTAAGGAACGTGCTGATTCAATCCTTGGTGACTGGCTCGGCCCTCGTCGGGACGGCAGAGTAGTATGTAGTGAGTAGTGTACGTCTATAAGCAGAACCTCTTTTTTCAAATACAATAAATCTAACTTTTATTAAGAATAATAGATATTTGTTCTTACGGACACATACCATTCTACTAGAAAACAAAATAGGTAATAATAAAATTGTGCGGTAATCAAAAGCGCACACAACACATAACCGTTCCGCGGTCGTACCGTCCGTTTCGTACCAGTGCAAATGCATTTATGCATGACCGAATTTGTTTTACTGATATCCGCTCGGTATCAGAGACATCAGTGAAAATGGTTTTTTTTCGTACCGACATCGGTGTGTACGGGTTCGGTGAATTGCGTCCCAAAAAAAAATGTTAATACACAGATAGGTGAATTGCGTCCCCGATATTTTTTCCGAATAGGTGAATTGCGTCCCCGATACTTTTTGAAATGTTACACACAAAATATTTCATTCTAAGCGATATAACTGCAGAACAGCAGAACCTTTATTTTATTTTATTTGTATTGATATCTATTATCGGAATATCCAAGAATTAAATAATATTTTATCTCACATGACCGTTTCAGTATCAATGCAATACGCGCGTTTAGAATCGGACTGAGTATATTTTTACATTTATATTCGACCGTTCACGACAACAATTGCGATAACATATAATTACTATATAATATTTGTGATTTCAAATTTCCCAACATATTATGCAGTTGACAAGCAGTCGTCCGTCTGTCCGCAGTCGTCAATCGTCAGTATACTGCAGTGTAATTTTTTATTTATTATTAATTTTAAATGGAGTTTTCAATAAGTGAAAAAAATAAAAAAATAGTTGTAATTGAAGGTTTTAAATTTCGATTCCAAAAACTATTAAGAAATGACATACAACGTTGGTGCTGCTGTATAAAATCTTGTAAATGTTTTTTTAAATGTGAAAATAATTGTAATATAATAGAACAATCTAAAAAGCATAATAAATTATATTTCAACTAATGTATTAACTTAGTATATTTTATGTATTTGTTACATACCGAGTATTAAAATATAACAGGGACGCAATTCACCTAGTATTAAATTACAACAGGGACGCAATTCACCTAACGTCGGTGTGTAGTACTACACGTCAGTGTGAAATGCATGTTTGTGCTGATTTGCGTGACGTCGCCAACACTGCGCCGTATACTTGGCATTCGAGAAATCGTTTGAGAACTCCATATGAGTGCGGACCATTTTTACGAATGATATGATTTATTTTTTTTTGTTGACGTAAAAGAACTTTATCGAATACTGGAACAAGTGCGGTTGAAGTTCGCCTCAATTCGAGCTGTCACAGATCGGACGGCTGTTCACATTGTTCCGTGCGTTTCGTGTCCGTATCAGTGAAATCTCCGAAACGTCTTCGATAAATTTAAAAATACGGTGCGGACACGGAACGGACGTGTGTAAATATGCTCGTTTTATAACAAGTACACAAACCAAAACGACGGATACGAAACGATTATGTGGACTTCAATCTGCCGTCGTTGCGCCTTAAATACGCGCTCGTTCTCACTGTTATTTTGTATAAAAGTGTACTCTGATTCCAACGGACGACGAACTATTTGATAATTTATTACTCTCGTTTTTATTTTTTTGCTTCAGTTTCCAAAATCTTTTTCTACAATCATTTGTCTGGAATTGCTGGTATCTATTCACCGTTGGCTCGTTGCATTGTTTGTATGAAATAATTACTTTGAGTGTTTATGAATGAAATCTATGATCTGGGTCGTCCAGGATTAAAGAATTTAATGTTATTTTTTTCATTTTTTGGACGATCTGCTGTTTTGGGGACTATCAACTATGCCATTTACTTGCATACAAACATAAATTAATATTTAATATTGATTAGAAAAATATGTTTGCTTTATTTGAGAGATCAGTTGATCTAATGAGCCTTTCAATATCAGCATATCTATTATGTGACAAAATAATTATGAATATAAGCAGTACAAAATGTTACTTTCATTGTACGTTTATCAAACTTACATAATTTAATATTACTTTCATTGTAAAAAACCAGGTTGTGCTTACTTTTGTACCATTTGAAGAAATATTTTTATTAGTATAAAACATCAACTACCATTTAAAGTAGAAGACAATGGTTAAGTTTTTTCTGAAAATCCATTTAAGACTTGCTAAAATATATAATAGATACATTATAATTTTTAATTCAACTAAATACTATAAGAATCAATAAATGTATTTTTTATAATAGATTTGGTACCTAATGAACATTTTTTAAAATCAAAAACCAGATACTTGGTAAAATGTATAAAATACTTAACTATAATTTGGTTATTTTATATTCATTTTATTATGCTTGGAAATTATTGGTTTAAGAAATAAAGCAAGCTGGCTATACTGAATTATTTGATTACATTGATTTAATATGATGACAATTGACAATAAAAAATAATATATTATGTTTTAAATAATAAAAATATTTAAAATCTAAAATAATTCTAAAAAATAAAATATCTCAATTTATACTTGGGTTACTTCAAATATTTCTGTTTTTAAAGGTCAATTTTTTATAAACATATTTAACATAACCTGTGAGGAAATTTTATTTTATTGTTTTTATTTTTAAAGATTAGAACAAACTTAATTTTAATAGGTATGTAAACCTTAAATTAAATTTTAATTTCTAAATGCAGTTTTATATAAGTACAATTATTGTTTACTACATTTATATATTTTAATCAATAATATTTTTTAAACAAACTTGGACTAAATTTTAATTTGGAATACAATATATTAATATAAAATAAAAATATAAGTAATATTTACACACTTAAGTATAAATTTACAGTAGGTAAAATCTATGATATTTTTTATACTCCGTACATTTATGTCTATTATATTTAGTCCATTATATTAAATTAGTTTAAATTAGTTTTTATAGAAAACAATTAATGATTAGATAAATGACACAATAATTTAAGGAATATCTATCATAACTTTTTTTATAATAAACAAGTTTATTTCTGTAACCGATCATAGTAACTTTTTCAATAATAGATTTAAATAATATCAAAGTATTGTTATAATTAAATTTATAATTTATTTTTTTGTTCAGTCATTTATTAGAAATTTAAATTGCTTTTTACATGAAGAGTCATGCAATGCTACAAAATTCTTTATTAAATCATTAATTTGAGAACTCATGACTGGAATGGTTTAATCAAAGCTGACCAGCCATCAACAGATTGATCATTTCATTATATTGTGCCTGAATATACATTTTAATGACAAATTACGTTCTGAAAACCTTTATATTATAATACATAGTTAATTAGTATAAATTAAGACTGGAATTTACAAGCCTCACAAAAAAATATACAAAATAAAAATAAAGTAATTATATCAATACATTAAAGCATACCGTTAATTATATTGTTTATTGTCTGTAAATGGAAAAATTATTAATTATTGTTAAAAATGAAAGCGAATTTCTGAATAATGGTTAGTAAATAAAATAAATTATTATTTATTTAAAGTAAAATGATTAATGTTTTTTCAAAACCAAGAAATATAATGTTATCAGTTTAATTCAAAAATATATTAATAAACTTATGATTAATATTATAAGTAGGTATATTGATATTCAATAAGTAGAATAATATAATTATTTATTAATTAATCGCAATCTAATGTCTCCGTCAAACCCAGTGCATACATAAATATAAAAATTATATACATTGATTGTTAACAAAATGATAATTTCAATAAGTATGTTAAAATTAATTTGGACAGTTCTTAGCTTTTTAAGGAATACTATACAATAAATAATAGTATTCTAAATAACACAACGAGTATATTATATTTAAATATCAATATTTGATAATATAGCAATTACAATACTTGTATTATAATGATATGAGATACTATAGAATCTACAGAGTAAATAACTATTAGATTTATATTTATCATGACACTCAGAATTAAATATAACAATACTAAACCAAACCTTATTTCCTAAATATACCCAGTAAAATAAAATAACTTATTTAAATGACAATTATAGTATATAGTATATAATCTATATTCAATATAAGTAATAGTAAAATAGATACCTTATTATACTATTAAGTCTAATTTAATAGTTAGTTTAAATTAATAACTAATTCATAAAGTGTTTCTGATCATACAGTAACTATTCACTACTTTTAAAACTAATTTAAGGCTAAGATGCTATGTAAAAAATATTTGATTTTCTTAACACTTACATAACTTCAAATTAACTTACCTATTTAAAAAGCAATTTCACTATACAAGAAAAGTATTTATTAAAGTAAAAAAATATAAACATTTTCATGAACAATATCCAATAAAATAAAAAAATCAACTAAGTCTATGTCATTTTAATAAAATTAAATATTTAAAAACTGTACATTATTCATAATTATAATAACTATACTTAATTTAACTTTATCTAATAAATATAAATGCAGAAATATTGTAACTCTGCATGCAACAGAATATTTTATAAATCCTACTTTCACACATGTAAGATTTCCATTTGGTACCGCAATTCTACGTTTGTATAAATAATTAAATAAAAATAATGTTACATAGGTACTATGATTTTCCTAAATGTCATGTAACCATAAAAAAATAACAGTTATATCTCTATAAAAGTTTAATAATTAATAACTATTGTTGTCCGTACATAATACAATTATTTTAAAATAATGATTCTTTAAATTAATATGTATGTAATAAAATTTTTAACAATAGTTTTATATACATAAAAAAAAAAAAAATAGATTTCAAAATAATTTAGGTATTCTATACTTTAAAATTTAGGTTAGGTTAAATCTTTATTAAGACTGTGCTGGGATACAATTATAATTTACAAAATATATTTATACATGCTTCCATAGAAGCAATAACCATAGCACAACATTCTACAATAACAAAACTAATAAACATAATTTAAACTAAAATCTCTAAAAACCAAATGGGTCATTTGGTTATACTAACAATTGTTTTTCTATTTGAGAAGTTTCTAACCATAAAGATTATATTTCATCTGCATTTGTGGTGTCATTTTGATAAATATTTTGAATATTTTATTATATTGCATTCTGATTGCATAGACGTCGTGTTACACGTGCTGTTGATGCTACTGTAGCTAATGCATATGAAGGTTTTGATTCATCCTTTATTCTATCAAAATAAAAAATATTATAAATGTACAATAAAAATAATCCTAAAGCATAATGTCTTTTAGAAATAAATGTATACTAAAACTATAGGAACACTCACTTAGCTATTATTTTTGTTGGTGTTGATGATCTTGTTGATCTAATACTAGTTTTATTAAGGGTTACAACTTTAGTATTTTTCTTTCCATTTGCCGTTGCTTTTGAGTTACTCCTTGTAATTGTTATTGAAGAAGGGATTGCATTATTTTTTTTCACCAAACTGTTCTTATTTATTTCAACAGATAAGTTTGCAGCCCGACGGATATTTCTTATGGTTGAAAAAGTACTTTTTAATTTGGAATCCTCATTTTTTACGGTAGATCTTTTTGATCTAAGATTTGGTACTTGAAAATCACTCTGTGTATGATTTTTTGTTTTTAATTTCTTTTTGAGAACAGATGAAAGTCGGTTTTGCAATTTCTATTAGCAAATCAATATAGTTAATAAAATATTATAATAGCTAATTTATAACAGTTAACGGTATACCTTTTCAGATTGAACATGTTCTACATCACTATTTCCACTTTTACTACAACCCAGTTGTAGTACTTTATTACTTAGAGATGAATGGGGAGGAGGTTCAATATAATTATACATATTAACATTACAAGTATGTCGCTGAATACTGTATACTCCATTCGTAAATTGTTTACACTTGTCAACTTCAATATTTCTGAGTTCTCTCCATTGCTTACCAGCCATTTTTAAATATTCTTCCTTTCTTTAAAAAAAAAAAAAAAATGTATTTATTAAATTACATATTTAACAAAAAGTATTATTATTTTTTTTTATAATACAAATAAAAACCGTGACATAATTTGTGGCTATTGTGTGTCTAACAGTGACTTAAATTATTACATATATGGAACATTTAGGTGGTTCCTATCTTTACATTAGATAAAATAAGATAATGGGTGATTGAGATTTGACTGAGACGTTTTATAATTCTTTCTTATTTTCTAGAACTACCTGTCAGGGGTGGCCAAGGCAGTATTGACATTTTAATTTAATTTAAATTTGTAGTCCATCTTGACAATGACTAATCTTATTACCACAAAAAAGGTTGTATGATTTTATTTATACATTTTTATGTTGGAATAAGATAATCCTGGTAAGATTAGGGCTTTGGGAGAGCTGTGTGAAAATGTTGTGACCATATCTGTTTTAATGTTACAGGCTATGTTACTATGATCGGGTATCCACATAAATTATATATGCTTGCCTACAGACCTAGCAGTGCCACTGAAGTTTTGTTTTTTTCTTGCTAGTCGGATAGGTTAACTATGTTTTTAAAATTTGTCAGTATGCTTAATGAGACGCTAAATTTAACAAAACTGTTATCTTCAGTGCATTTGATAATATAGTTGATTGCTTCTAGTATAGGGTTTCTGCTGTATATATGGAATGTTTATCAGAAAGTTTAAACTGAATTACGGTGTCACCACATATGATTGCTGCTCCTACTCTATGTTTGTTTATTAATGTATCTGTGTAAATTTGTATATGTTAAAGCCAAATATCATAAAGCCAAAATATTTATAAATAAATCTAATATTTGAGACCAAATTTTACTTTAATGTAAAGCTAATTTAACACTTAATAACTATACAATTACATAATAACATATACTATGTGTTCACTTATTTAGGGAACACTAAAATTTTCGGTCGGATTGCATTAGGATGAATAATATTTTTTTTACAAGCTAGTGATATGTAAATATACATTTATAGACACTTTTCAACACTTTTATCATTTTGGTATGCAGATGAGGAGTACAATATGTTTTTCTAAAATAGCAACTATTTTGATGCATTAACCGTGGTTCTAAATTCAAAATTGATTGAATAAGAGCCATTTCAATTTAAAAAAATAAGATATTTTTGTGATTCATTAAAATGCATGAAACTACTAATAATTATTTATTATGGGTTTCTTTTTGAATATTTTTAAAAACTTTTTTTTTTTTTTTTAGTTGATACCTACATCAAAATAACATTAAAAATATAGGCCTTTCCGAGTATAATGTTAAAATAGGTGTTGCTATTTACAAAAACACATATTTTATTGTTCATGCGCATACCGGAAGGATAACAGTTTTGAAATGTTTCTATAAATGTGTATATATATAACGCTAGCTTGTAAAAAATTTGATTTATTCCAATACAACCCGACCAAGAAATTCAATGTTCTCTAAATTGATGAACACAGTATAATAATATATCAATTAAAAATCCAAAAAGAATATAATTTAAAATATTTCCTATAAAAATAAAATACTACATCATATAGATTATCACAATGGTTTAAAATTCCTTCTTAAATTGCTGCTTAAATACTATTTTTCTGAGTTTTGATACTGTATATTGTAAAAAATGATTTCACTTGAGGCATATAACACAGATATAATACACTTAAAGTATCATCCATGCATAAAAAATAAATACAAATAGATTAAAAATAGGTTTCCATTAAATTTAAACCAAATTTAAATTACTAAATAAAATGTTTACTCAGTAAGCCACTGCTGTTGTACACCAATCACTGATCCAGGTCGACATATACGGATCCATGCTATAGCTTCAATAGCAGTAAATGACCAATGCTTTACAATGTATGAAGCAATTAAACAACCAGTTCTACCCAAACCCGCTAAAAGATAAAAAAAAATTAAAATTTACAGTGTTATAAATTATGAATTAATTTAACCTTTACAATGAACTGCCACAGCTCCAGCAACATTTACTTTACTATTAATATTTGTATTTGTTGTGATTGTATTTGAATCTTTAATTTCATTGTTCATGGATACAACATTGGAATTTTCATTTATGTATTGCTCACATAGACACAAAAAACAATCAAGTATAGAATCTGTTGGTGGAGTACCATCAGTAAAAACCATATCTGTGTGCTGTATATTGGCAATTGCTACAAAAGTGCGTTTAGCATCATACGTTTTTTTACTGTTTAATCTTACTACGTGCTTGACATTGTTTTCTTTAAAGTATTGATAATAGTAAGCTGGAGAATGTATCTGATAGCCGGCTAATAATCAAATAATAAAAATTATTAAGTGTTATTGGTACAAGGTTAAATTTAATACAAATATAAAATATCATTACATTTATCAATATAATCTCGAGTATGCGGTGATGAAAATGCCAACAAGGTATTAGGTACAATCCAATTGATATCACCATATTTTACAGTCTATAAAAAGTTGAAAAATATTAATCAGAAAAAAATTGTTGTTTTATAAAACTTAGATACCTCATATTTTTCATATTCTTCTACATCAAAATCATCAAAGTCAAAAAATCTATACCATTTAGCTTTATATAAAGCATTAACACACTCTTCAACAGTAACTGAATATTCTGACTGTGGCAAGCAAGATGCATCCCTATTGTTAGATATTAATAATATTTATAATTATAATATTAAATGTTATGTGTAAATATTATTTAATTCATTAATATTTACCTGAATGGTAAATACTGATGCTTATATTCCTGTGATAAAATTTTATATGTTTGATGCGCTGTCCAATTTTTTTCAATAATCTAAGAAATAAATATTAATTAAAATATCTAAACTTTGTAAGTATTTTTTTATTAACTAACCATATATGAACAAATAATAAATGCAGAATTAGACAATTTCTTTTGATCACCTTTATGAGTGCAGTGAACCACTTTTTTATGCATCTAAAAAATAATCAAATACATTTGAGATTTAATTATACATATAGGACAAAACTAAATACAATAATGTTATACAATATTTCTAATATTTAATTTTTATGTAAATTAAACAATTTAATGTATATCTATAATAACAGTATTTTACAAAAAATAGTAATTTTTTATTTAAAATACATATACTATACACAACCTACAAGATGTTGAAAAAAATAAGTTTAAAACAATATTGTATTGGTATGTTTATACATATCATATATACATATTTTTTAATAGTATTTAAAATTGGTTTTAAAATTTTGGTTGATAATTATATTTGATTAAAACATTTCAAGGAATAAATTAAGTGAAATAATAAATTAATATAACATAAAAATGCTGATAAAAAATAAAACTGTTTACTAAGTTTATTTATTATATCATATTAATTAATATTGCAATTTCTGATATTTCAATTATAAAGTTTTTGATTTAAATCTATTATAATACAATATACCTATTTCTAAATTAAAAAAATATTTATGATTTTTACGTTTAAGTAAACATTTTCTTAATATAAATAAAGAAATATATAAAAATCTACAGAAATAAAACTGATCAAATGAATAATGAGGACATTAAGTAAAAAAATATAAAAAAAAACTAAAAAATATACTGATTTCCAACAGATATTTGATATAGATACAATATCAACATTTATTGATAATTATTAAAAAACAAACCAAAGTAAAAAGGTTCACAAAAGTTTTACTTACTTTAAATATTTCTCGTAGCATAGAAATATAGCGATATATCATAGCTAAATTCATTGGACCAAAATCGTTGAAAAAACTATCATATACTAGACTGTCGTCCACGTTTAAATAGTATACATTTTTATCGCTCAAAGATGTTTTCCATTCCTTGAACGACTGAAGCATTTGTGAATCCTTATTATTAGACAATACCATGAAATATAGCTGATCTGCAAATCAATTAATAGTAAACTATTATAAGTGCTTGAATACATATAGACAGATTTTATAAACTTACCTTTGATGAACTCGGACAATTCAGTGACTACCAATTTGTTGGCATGGTTGCTAGCCATAAATTTGTTAAATTCTGCAGACATGTTTTTCTTTTTGTTTTACGAAAAACTATAATATCACGCGACTAACAAAAAAATTGAAGATGTGTGATGTTTAATGTCCTTCCTACTACAAATACTTTAAAATCCCACGCATAGGTGATGAATTTCTATAAACACCTACACCAATACAACGCACAGTTCATATGTCCACCTACTCATATGGTAAAGTAGGTGCAGCTACCGGATTAATTTAATTTGCTTTTTCTGAGGGGAAAAAAACGGAATGTATTAGAATAAAGTAATTAACGGACAACATGAAGCGTATACAAGTACATGTATACATTTACGTTTTTAAAGTAATAAATACTACAAAGTACCTATTGTAGGCGTATGGTAATAAAAAATAAATAACGAATAAAATAATATCATGTTCTGTACATCGGAAAAATCGATATTCAATGAACGATCCGTAAACAGTAGAAAACGAACGTTATAAAATTGATTTTGATGTTGTCTGACAATTTTATAAAAAAAACGTTTGGTTAGGTTATAATACATTTATACGATATTATTATTGTCGTTGTCGGTATTCATTGGCAGGTAGCGAGGTTTTTATATACAAATAATATTGTAATATCAGCTCATAGAGTACTGTATCAGCTGAAAAGAATGTTTGATAACAACCGATGATTAGGTATGCGTTATCTGAGTGTATCAGATAATGCGTTTATAATATGTAATATTAATATTATTGTTATTATAATTTTTAAATATACGAAAACGGAGAGACAAGCCAATAAGGCTTGAGTAAGTTCAGCAAATTATCATTACGTTAAATCTCAAAGGGAACAGGAAAAAGTTTGAAATATGGAATTTTATTAAACATTTTTAAAAAATTGAAAAAATTAATGAATCTTTTGAATACTAAAAATCCATAATTTGAATACTTAAAATACTAAGACTAGATACATATCAAAAAACTATAATATTAAATATTTACATTTTTTTAAAAAAATCTATGTATATACATGGTATATTTTTTATCTCAGCACCGATTCAACCCTTTTAATGAACATTTATTGATGTCCAACTAAGAAGTCATCCTCATTTTATTCATATTTCCACAGTTGAGTTTCAAAATGTTATCTTTCTGTTTAATAATTGATTATAATTAATGTATTTGGTAGAATATTGAATTCATTGGCGATTTCACATTTTTTCACAGTTCCTTTTTCACCTTACTGTATTAAAATATATTATTATAATTAAAAATTTTACATGCATAATATAAATTAATAGTATTTAAATAATTAATAAGTACATTATACTTTACACTTAGTCACTTCTTAACTTTAAAATAAGAACACTAATCAAAGCAATATTTATGATAATTTTATTGGTTAAGCTGAATACACCTACAACAAAGAAGCATTTTAAAATTTTTATCTCATAGACGATTTCCTGTTGGTGTTATTATTTGAGACCCACTATTAAATAAGCGCTCAACGGATGTAGAAGATGGTAAAGTCGTGTTATGTTTGATAAAAATTTGTTTTATTATTGAATATGAATCAAAAACAGTTAAATCTTTATTATTAATATTTAAATATGATGAAACTTGACTTAATTAATTAACAAAACTTTTGTTTCTTTAGTTATTTACACTTAGTTCTAAATTGGAATATGAGTAACTTGGACTACTGAGAATACTAGGATCTTCAGATAAAATTTGAAAAAAAATCTTCATAGCTGCTATAACTGTCCAAATTTACATCTGTATTGAGAATATCGACTAAAGAAAAACTTATTGAAATATATTCTCCTATAAATATTTATTTACAGTAAGATTTATATCTTTTAAGTATCTATATCAGTTTGAATTGAAAATTACTACTTGCAGATAAAATGTATTTCTTACCTTTCATATTTTTCAAATCAATTATGTAATCAAATATTTTTTCAATACTATTAATTATTTTCATACTTAAAGTCTTATAATATATTATGTTATTCATTTTTATCATAAGAAGTCTTAATGCCAATATAGAAAGAGCCACATAGCCACAAAAAAACATAACTTTTCACTCATAAACTTGTCTAATAATATTGCCTAATATATAGTAGACCCATTACTTTATAGTACTCATTTAAGAATATCCATTCATTTTGTTTTATTTTGCTTAATTTTAAATCTTCAAAAATTAAAACCAAACTATCTTTGTAAGAGACTACCTTTTAAATAGCATTGTACATAGAACTCCATCTGGTAATAAATGGCACAGGAAATGTATAGTTACACAAGTCTGTTACTTTATCCGATACAATAGTGCTTCTGAAGTTTCAAAAAGAAAATAATTTTTTAAATACTGCTTTTGATATTTTATTGTAGGTATCTTGTTCTATATTTAATATGTCAGTTGAAGTGTTAAATTTAAAGAGTGAGCAGCACATGTAATATACCTTGGCAAATAAATAGAATTAGGGTCAAAATTCAATGAAGAAAAATCAATTATTTTTAAACAGGGAATGTTAAAATCGTTTGCTGTGCCTGAATTATTTATAATTTTGTTTTCATTATCGGAGTCACTTATAATAATTAAATAATTTAGATCAGTCATTAACATTTTTAGTATTATTAGAATTATCAATGGAATCAATATATTGGCTAGAAAATATGGGAAATACTTTACCAAAATTTGAAGTGTCGTCTATTACAACATATAAAACCTTTTCACAATTTATTTTATACTCATGCATTGTTTGAATTATTACCTTTGAAATATTTGCAGTATGTATAGTTCCTTTTTATCCGTTTACAAGCTTATACGTATGAATATCAGTTATAATTAGTTTAATTTATATAATGACAAGTTATTTCTAAATAACTTCTGTTGTTAGTAGGGCTCGGGAATTCTAGGAGTTAGCATGTTTTTAAATAAATATCAAAAACATAGCTATGTAATATAGAAATTTGTATCATAACAATACAAGTTTATATTTAAAATTTATAATTGCATATTTGCATATTTGACCATTATTCATTTATAAGTGCATATTTGACAATTATTTATATGAAGGAGTAAGTTTTTTAATTTAAAAAAAAAATATGAATTTATTTTTTCATCTATCACTAACTAAATTCAAAAAAAAAAATTTAAATTACAAAAGAACATATACATTCTGCAAAAATTGAAGGATCTGCACAAGCTAAAGCAATTGATGACAAAATTAGAAAAGTTTCGGAGAAAAATGTTGTATTTGATCAATTATAAAAATATCGAACATTTTAAATGGACAAAATGATAGTAGTAGTAACCTACAATTTTTTAATTTCGCACCAATAATTTCCGTAGACGTGGTATGTTCCTTTTCCAATTATAAAAATATTTTCGCTGATAACATGCAGTCATTCAAATGTCCCAATTTAAGAAAATATCTTTTAGTCCAATTTAATACTCAAGATAATTAGTTCTATATTAAAATAGAAAAAATGTATTAATTTAATTTATTTTTAAAATAATTTTAAATTTTTTGTTTTAGACAAAAACTCAATATAATTTGAAAACAAATCTGAAAAAAGAAAATAACTATCTCAGATCATCGTAGATATGATATATCTATTATATCTAAAAATATTATTATTTATTACTAATTTAATTTTTTATTTAATTAGTTATTATAAATATAATTTTTTTAAATGCATATTTTAACACCATATTTATTGGTTCTTTAGGGCAGTGGTTCTCAACCTTTTTTGATATAAGGCCCCTTAAATTTAATGTAAAACTGTCAAAGCCCCCTCAATCAAATCAATAATTAATTATTTATTGTTAATGGTATACTAAATTTACATTCACTATTTCACACAAATAAATTATTAAAATATAAAGAAAATAAATGTTTTTTTAATATATTTTTGAAATGTAATCCTATAATTGTATAAAACTTAAAACATATTTTTAATTTTTAATATTTTAGCTTTTACCGAAACCTGGTTGCATAATAATGTTAGTTCACTTGAACTCGGTCTCATAAATTATGAAATTTATAGATGTGATAGATTTTTTTTTATCTAGCTCGTCGACCAGAGGAGGAGGTGTCTTAATAGCAGTTGATAAAAAATATATTTCCTCACTAATTGATATTGATGTAAAATCATTAGAATCATGCTTTGTCTCTGTAAAAATTAATAACACTAAAAGTGTAATAGTGGGTTGTATCTACTTTCCGCCAACTTCTCCATCTTCTTTGTATATTGAATATTTTTCTATCTTAGATAATCTCATTTCTTCTCGCCCAAATGATGATCTTCTATTTTTCGGTGATTTTAATTTACCAAATTTAAATAAAACATCATTAAATGCTAACTTAAACCTATCCTCTCCTGAAGCTATTTTTTTGGAAAACGTAGCATTTCTTAATCTTTTTCAAATTAATACAATCTTCAATAGTTATGGTTAAATACTGGATCTTATAATATCCAATTCTAATTTTCATTTTAGATCGTTTAATAAGGATGCTAAAGTTCCTGAAGATAATTATCACCCTCCTATTAATGTCAATTACTCTCAGTTATACTCACCCTCTCCGCTATCTTTTTTCAGAGAAACCTATAACTGATATAAGGGTGAATATAATAATATATTATCTTTCCTTGGTTCAATAAACTGGACTGAAATTTTCAAAATTAGTAATGATGTTAAAACCATTATTGATGAATTTTATTCGCTCCTATTATATGTTATTAACATTTTTATTCCTAAAAAAAGATACTTCAAATCTAAATTTCCCTGTCGGTTTTCTAAAGACTTAATAAATTTAATTAAATTCAAAAAATACCAACATTCAATATTAAGTTATCTCACTCACACGATGATTACCAAAAATTTTCTTTCACGCGTGCTCAATGTAAAACCTTAAGTAAAATTGATTACTCCAAATACTTAATTAATATTCAAAAATCTTTTAAATCCCAGCCTAAGAAATTTTGTCGCCTAAGTTCAAGACTGCAATAACTCAAAAAAACTATTATTGAGATATCGACGCTTCAGTTCAAGACAGCAATTACTTAAAAATATTCAGAATTAAGTTATATACGTGATATTATTTGCAAAGTTACGACGATTTCGATTCTATAACGCAATAACTTTTAGTTGCATTATTCACCTCTAGAGGTCGTTTATTTCATTCTAAAACTAGTAGTTTCATAATTTGAGTTATTGCAGTCTTGAACTCGAAGCACCGATATTATCATGTATGTTTAAAGTCCAAAAAATAATTCTATCACCATAACAAAAAAAAAAAAAAAAAATGTGTAAAAAAATCAAAAAAAAACTATTTCCATTTTATGGAAGCATAGAAAAATGGACAAATAAATTAAACTTAGGATAAAATAATTTAATAATATAAACTTATAGGTAAATTAAATATGCCACTTTATAAATCTAAAACTAATATAGATAGAATTTTGAAGTGGGTTCTTACATACAGAAAACAAAATGTAGTTATTTATCAAAAGGCATTAAAAATTGTAATATAAATAATAAATAAGAATATTAAATATACAGCTAGTATTCTAGCTACTAATGAACTAAACTATAATTTTCTTAAATTTATCTTAGAGCAGTCTTATCATTC